GCTTTAAGTAGAACTCAGAGACAGTATTCTAAAGAGAAAAGAACACAAAGTGGTGTCCAGAACAGGAATTTCAGGTTTAGCTCTCATGCTGGGGTGGCAGGAGGGGTGAGGGCCTGAGGAGGGGTGTCTTGTCCTCGGGGCACTGCGAGGCCACTGGGGGTCCAGTAGAAATTATGGTCCAGGAAGACAGAAAGCTGGACAGACCAGGCTCTGAGCTGCGCCAAAGGTCACGCCAGAGAAGCTGTAAGCAGGAAAGGGAGCCCAGGTCCAAACCTGGGAAGACTCACCTTGGGAACAAGCACGATCGGATTGGGCACACAGCCTGGGCAGAGGTGACAGTGGCTCCTGGGCAGAAAACTGTCCCCGTGATGCTGCCCTGCCAGGACTTAGGCAGGTGTGAGTGGGGATTCAGGGACTCTCTGTGGACCCAGTCGCTAGGGCGACATCCAGCCTTGGGCTAGCCTGCGTGGCTGATGGTAAAGCAGGAGTCTTTAGGAGCTTTGAGTGTTGTGTTTCTCCCCGAGGATGTCAGCTGTTGACCAGGCCCTGTGGCTCGGTGGTTAGGCATAGTGCATAGATAGGTAGCTGGATCCCGTATGGCCAGCCACTGTTCAAATCGCTCGCAAAACATGCTGCGTGTGTGTGTGTGCATGCGCAAAATCCTAATGCGATGGAGAAATGAGGAAATAGGATTATGGCATGACCATGCCCCACCAGGGGGTGTATTTTTTTTCTCTCTCTCTCTGGGGAGAACACATGCCCTCTGGCAACTGTGAAAATTTTCAGCCATTGATGAACTTCCTAAAAGCCACATTTCAATTTATTACTTCTCTGTTCAACAACTTTTCTCTTCCTGTTAGTCCGCATCCAAGTTCTTTAATCTGATGTGTAATAATTACTCCCACTCACCAAACTCCTAAGATATCCCAGGGATTTATTATTTATTTATTTATGTTTTTAATTTTTGCCATAGCGTATGTGTGCTTGCTAGAGACAGATGGAGATAGGAAAGTGAGAAATCACCCCCAGAGGGATGGCTACTCCACAATTCCTTCTCTTCTCTGGATTTTGGGCATACATACCCTGTGCAATTTTTAAGCTGCCAGGTTTGGGACTCGAACCACGGTCAGTTGTGTGGGATCCAGTGCCTCAACCACTATGCCATCTGCTGGGCCTGGATGTCCTAGGAATTTTCAATAGAGGACTTCTCACTTGTTCTTTACAAGTCCACACAGGAGCTAGGGAGGAATCGGTCTTACAGAGGGAAGAAACTGAAGTTCATGGAAATTAAGTAATTTCTCCAAGATTACATAACCAGTGGCAGAAAAAGAATCGGAGCTCAGCACTTCCTGATTCCAAAGTGTGGGCTCTTTTCCATGAAACCACCGCGGCTGTGCCCTACCGGACGCACCCTTGCAATGCCCTTTGGACTTCATCAGTAAGACCTGCCCCCAACTTTCTGGCCAGAGACACCAACACTGCTACCCCGGGGGCATTTCTGGTCTCAAGCGAAGCCCAAAGGAAGTTGCACCCCTTCAGGTTAAGGTTTGTGATTCCCTTTAGTACTCTCTAACATTCTTAATCAGGAAATGCTACTTGAGAAAATAAAATCATTAAAAATTAAAACAGAAAAAAGATGCAGATTAATATGGAGAAAAGAATCATGACCTGTTGGCTCAGGACCCAGAGAAACCCCTGCAGACATTTAAAATAGTAATAGCATAGTTCAGATCCAGAGGAGTGTCCACATGGCAATGACCGAGGCGTGTGGGATGCTGCATCTGGTTCTCCTGCACCCGCGAGGGGCTGAGCCACCTTCTGAGTCATCCAAGTCACTTGGACCTATTAGCTGCAGGCCAGATTGAAGGCTACAGCCAGTTCCAAAGTCACTTGGATTTGTGTGTCAGAGTTCTTTTATAACAGAGGAGAAGACGTTGGTGTCGGACCCGGGTCCTCACAGATGTGGCCGCCTTGGGAAGAGCTACTGTCCCAGCCCTGGCATTGATTGCTGCCCAATCCCTGCTGCAGACCCCATGTGGCCTTCAGTCATCCTGTTGTGCTTGGACTCTGGCCAGTCTCCTGCCCTGCTATGCCATGTTCCTTCCTCTGCCATCCACCTTGGGTCTCACCTGCCCTCAGAACCTTCGGAGTCCTGCAAGCCCTTCCTCTGAGTCTCCCGGAACTTCCCTTCCCAGGCTGCTGTGAGTAGAATTCGGCAGGTGGCTCATTCTAACTAAATATTTGCTCAGGGACACCCAGTGGGCTATGACTGTCAACACTTGAGGAAGGGATATGGAAACATTTAGAAGTCCCATTCCTTGACCACAGGAGTACTTGCCCAGATATGAGATGGGACCTCACTGCAGAGCGCCTTCAGGTTCTGTGCACTGATAAGACCCAAGCCGAGCGAGGTTCCGCAGGGGGGGGAGGGGACTTTCTGAGCACTGGCCCCATGCAGCAGGCCCTTTCCCTCTCTCTCTCAGTCTTCATGACCCTCTGTGAGACGGGCTTACCAGTGCATCACAAAGGCTAGTAAACAGACTGGCCAGTGGTTAAGAAACTGTGCTAATCAGGCCAGAAGGTGGCATGGTACTTACAGCTCTGGACTCGCACATGTCTGACTGCAGTTTGAGTCCCAGACCTGGGGGCTTGAAACTCATACCGGGCATGTGTGTAAGCATCCTGAAATTCCAGGAGAATGGAAGAGAAAAGATCGTGGCATGGCCATTGTCCCTGGGGGGTGATGTCTCACTTTCCCTCTCACTGTCTCTCTCTGGCAAGTGCACATACTCTATGGCAAAAACTTAAAAAAAAAAAAAATGAAATTGTGCCAGTAATGGTCAGTACTGGTTTAGACATTAATTCTGACTGATCACAAAGCGGAGAGCTTTCTTTGCCCCTACCATGTCCCCTCTGCAGTTGTCATCGGTGACAGGTGCTAAGATCTTCCTTTTCTTTTTTTCTGAGTTTGCCAAAAGGTACATGCAGTCAGCACAGGGAGACGGCATCCCCAATGGGGCGTGGTCATGCTGCCATCCCGTCTCCATTTCTCCACTCTGTCGGGGTTTGGGATGCTGGGGCATACGTGCACATTTTCCCAGCACATGTTTTTCAAGCCTTTGGGACTGGGATTTGAACTAACCACCAGGCCCAGAGTCGGCCCAAACCATAGGAGATTTCTTCCTCCTCTTTCTCACTTGTGTAATGTGACCATCCCTCAAAACGCAAGCCTCGTGTCCCCAGCCAAGCTGTTCTGTTCTGACAGTTCTGCTCAAGCTGATTCTCATACTTTCAAGTGTCGCTAGCACTGGCTAAATGCAGTCACACACTGCCTGGTGTTATCAGTTAGCTTGTAATCTGGAAAAGAGAGTTTCCGAATTGCATCTGAAGATCTGTAGGTAGGGAGCTGTCTCTAACATCGTGAATCCTTCCAAGATCCTAGAGCTGTTTGTGTTCATTGCCGTCTGCTGCTATTTGGTGTTCCCTTTCCTTCACGCCTTAGATCTTTGTTGTTATGTACACAACCTTTGCCTGCAAATACAAAGTGGGATGATAGGATGAGACACATCTTTTTTTTTTTTTTTTTTTTCTTTCCCCTGGCTTTGCAAACTGACAGGGAATGCAAATATCTCTTGCTGTCCAAATCTGTTTCTTCCTCAGTTCAGAGTGGGTTTCGATGGGGAAGAGCAGCCAGTTCTATCAGTTTGGATCCTGAGACCTGGATAGCAAGCAGTGAGGGTTCAAGTGACCAGAGATTTTATGCGAGGTTTGACCTGACCTTACTCAGTTTTGCATTGGAAGCATAAGTTGAAAAGCAAGGTATACTGAAGTAAGAAAACATACCGTATCTATTGTGAGTACAAAGTAAGTGCTTTACCCAGCTTAAATGAAGTGCCTGAGGATTCAAGGTGATAGCTCATATCCCTAGATAGAAGAGTGATCATCCACTCACCAGGCGGTTTCTGGCAGGTCACCATGAACCGACTGCCGAGCCAACAACTGGAGGGTCACATCTGTCCTGTCTGCCCCGAGTCTACTTGCTGACCGGTTCAGGAGACAGATTATTCACCCAACAGTGGCAATGCGGAGTGACTGTCGTAGCCATAGAAAAATACATGGGTCAGAGGAACACTGGCCAGGGTGGGTTGGGATGTGGCCAGAGAATGTTTGGGGAGGATGGGGAAGTGAGGTTGACTCATGTATTGAGCATCCACTCTACACTGAACGCTGTTGGATGCGTTCAGCCCACGTGGGTGAGCCTGTCTGCCAAAGACCCTGGCCTTTCAGAGCAGGCCGTTCTAGAAGATCTACGGGGGCTCCTGAAGCAGGTGGTGTCTGGGCTGTTTATGGAGGCTGAGGACACTCTCAGGCAGTTAACTGGCAGGCAGTGGTGGACAGACAGGTGTGCTCTGCATAGAGGACACGGGGCTCGAGGGAAATACCTCGCTGACTGTTTTTCCTGGGATGTTTCTACAGCTGAAGCTGGACAGAGTTAAATCCAAGTAGGAGCTATTCTCTCAAAAGCATCTCTTCCAGGCTGACTGAGACTTTGCCTCCTGGGCTAGACGCTTAGTTGGGAGGAGGGTCCTGTTAAATGCACATCGACAAGACAGCGAGAAGGTGGGTAGCTGGGTGGGTCTCTGGCCTTGGGGGTCATGAAAGTGACCATGAAATGATAAAGATCCGAGTCAGGGAGCCCTGGCTAAAGTGTCTCAGAGGAACCAGAGGAGTTCTGCTGAGAACCTCACCCCACCAGCAGTTGGTCGCCACCTCCCTGGCCCCAGCTGTGCTAGGAGGCATGATTCCTGCCACAGCTCTGGTGGAGGTCTGATCGCTGTGCTTCTCTCCTTCCAGACTGCTCTGCCATGACCACAGCAAGGTACCGGCCCACCTGGGACCTGGCCCTCGACCCACTGGTGTCCTGCAAGCTCTGTCTGGGGGAGTATCCGGTGGAGCAGATGACAACCATAGCCCAGTGCCAATGCATCTTCTGTACTCTGGTGGGTCTTTGTGGGTAAAGTTTAACAGCATTTCGGGATGGGATTTGGTTTTCAGACATGGAACAAGGCTTTGCATTAACTTTTGTTTGGTGGCAGTCTCTTGTCGAGGCTTCCAAAGTAGGTTTCCATTATTGTGGCTGGTGATGCAGAAACAGTCACTCAGGATTTTAGAAGCTAGTGACGCCATTCTGAAAACTCGTCGCTGCACATGTTCTCACAGGATGAGGGAGGCTTGATCACACCTCATTTTCAGTGTAGTGGAATAACTCGATGCTTGAGAGTCTAACAGTGCTTACCTAGCGACTGTGTGTAGCGAGGATATTCAGTTTTCAGTTTTTCTTTTACTGATTTAGTGCTAGACTAGAACTGATACATCTTAAAAATTGCATGTAGATTTCCTTAAGATGTAGCCAACATTCCTTTGGAGACGAATGATCTGTTCTTAATGAATAGAGGGACTTATAACCTAAGAAGTTTTGAGTTTGTGTCTAACCCAAACCTCTAATTATTATCATTGAAAAAGAAAACAATGAGTGTGTAGGGCTTACTTTTAGTTAATTTCATTTAATTGTACTTTTTTTTTTCTTCCCATTCAAGGGATAAAAAAACAATAAACCCATAAAAGCAGGAAGTTGGATGGTGGTTACTGGGTGTCTGGGTGTCTGGGGGGACGGGGGTGATGGTCAAGGGGTTCAGAGTTTCAGACGTGCAGGATGAGCACCTTCTGGAGATCTTCTGTGCCCTGTTTCAGGCATAGCTAGTGGTACCATCTTACATACTTGAAATGTGCCGTGTGACCAGATCGTATGTGTCCTCACCATGAAAGGAAATAAAGACTATTTGAGGTGGGGGATATTTAATTAGCTTAATTGTGGAACTCTTTCACAATGTGTGTATGTATGTATATATGTGTGTGTGTGTGTGTGTGTGTATATATACATATATACACATATATATGTATGTATGAGAAGAGCAAGCTGTACCTTAAATATAGATACTTTTATATGCCAGCTACACCTCAACCTCAGTAAAGCTGAAACATAAAATAAAATACCATATTTTTCATCTTCAAAATGGTAGAAAAAAGGACTTTCTTCAAACTATAAAAACAGCAACAAATGTTGCTTCTGAATTTAACTGCTGTTATAAATAAGCAGTATGGACAGCCTGCCTGTGTAGTTTCCAAATGTCTAGATTAAAGTCTGTCGCTCAGACAGTCTCTCCTACCCTTTGGCACTAGACGTGTCTATCCTTCTTGCCCAACTTTGGAAGGTTTTATTTCATTTATGCCTCCTGATCTTTCTGCTGTGTAGGCACAGCAAACATCATTTCTGTTCTGTAGATAAGAAAACTGAGCTTTGCAAACATTCACATCTACATCTCCTGATTTCTTGGTTATGCGCAAGGTGGACTTTCTGAAAGGTGGAAGGATTTCTGGCTCATTCTCGTTCCTCGAACACACAGTTTACTGTAGGACTCATAATAAATAATCAATGTTAAACCTCATGGATTAAACTGAAGTGAATCAATCTTCATCATGGAGGCAACATCCAAGAAATGTTCCTGATTAAAGCCCGAGGAAAATAGTTTCAACCTAGAGGAAAGGAAATTGCTTTTGACATTTTCATGAGATGAGGATGGATCAGAGGGGGCGGGGGCAGTGGAGGGTCCGGAGGGACAGACCTCCATCTAATTAGCACAACGCATGGGGCTCGTTTTCATTTCCGGAGCACGAGCCAGGACATGGAGCAGGCCAGGACAGATCGCATAATTAGCTTTATGCCAAACTGCCTCCCTCTTGCCTGGAGCACCTTGCGCATTTCCAACACTGAACAACCCCTCTGTGGCAAATGCCTCTGGACAGTTGGCCTGTCCGGCCACCTTCATGCTGCCTTGAGGCCATGGTTTGTGTTCTTCTCCTTGACATAGTCTGTTCTTCCTGGCCTTTGTGCCAAGGCTTCATTTTTCTGTTGTTATTTCAGTTTTCTATTTCTAGAGAACTGTAGTAAAAATAAACAAGCAACTGTAACTCACACCACAGGTTTAAGCAAAGTCAAGGGATCTGAAAGGAAGAAACTAGCACTGTTTGTTCAAGGAGGAGTTGCTGGGACTACCAAGAAACAGCGGGGTAGTGTGGCTTTTCCCACCACTGTTTATAGAAAATTAACGTGTTGGAAAGCGTCCAGCTTCTGCCTGTGCTCATGGTAGTGTGAAGAGGAGGAAGCACCTGTGTGGGCAGTCTGAGAAGGGGGGAGTGTCCTTGTCCCATGACATCTTCGTTCATGTGCTCATCCCATGTGAAGGTGTAAAGTAATCTCTAGCTGGGGGCAAACCAGACCAGGACCCCAGGGCCTTTGGCCATGAGTATTGCACTGTGTTTTTCTGGGAGACCAACTGGAAGGTAGACAGTTGTGTGAGACTGAGAGGAAGCACTCTTACAGCAGTAACAGTTACTACTGAACTACAGGGAAGTTCTGATGCATTTTATTTCATGAAGAAATAGCTAGAGGAAAGACGTCAGGCATCCCTGTGATGAGCTGCCAGCTCTCCTCTGACCTTCCTGGCTTCATTTACCCCATCTCCATAACAGAGGTGACCTAGCCTGCTCAGGAGCTCAGATGGAAGAACATACATGCAGGAGCTGTCACTTGGTAGTGCCCAGTGGCCTGGCTCTTCGCACTTTGCTTCTAAGTCAGGTTTAGAACTACAAGGATAAAAAAGATAACTTTTCTATATGGACAGCTTCCCCAAACATGTGTTCTATAAAACATTGTCCCAAAAGATGCACTCAAAAGATTTTTGAAGTTAGTGGTTTGCTGAACATTGTATGTCTGTACTCCCCCAACCCCTCCCCAAGTACATACATATGCCTGCTAAGACATTCTGGGTGCCAGGGGCATAAAGACAACACTGAGAACCCACAAGTGGAGAAACACCGTTTAATATGCTTCCCACATGAATCTGAGCATGGAAAGTGCTTGCCTCTCAGTTAACAATGAGGCACTGCCCTGCAGCAGTCTAGCCAGCCTGCTGCTTTACAGGTGCCTGGCTGCTTCAGGGTGAGTCCAGAGGTCTTCTCTGTGATTTTTAATGAGGTCACACAGAGCCTGTGTATTGTGTCTGAGCGACATGGCCTGGGCAGGACAGTAGAGCTCTGGATGAAGGCTTTTCAGGGTTCTAGGGCCCACCATGGCACTGTGCACACTGCAGAAGCCATGCCTGGCTTCAGGGATTTAGAGATGGTGAGAGCTCACAGGCCCCTCAAATGCTTTCATTTTTGCTGAGTGTGAAAATGTTTAAATGCATGTATCTTTTCATAATATGCATTGTACATGAACTTTCTGAAGACACCGAGACTATACATCATACATATGCATACATAGGTATTAATATACATAATATATACATATGTCTACTTTTTATATTTTTTGTTTTGAGCTAGATTTACATCTATCCTGATTTTAGCTGTTTCTTGGTAATTGGGACTTTCACCTTTAGAACCCAGATGACAAGATTTTGAGAAATAAACATGAAAAATTGTTACTTAAAAGTGTAATTTTTAGTAAACAAAATATTTTCGACACAGAATGCCTAATTGTGATAAAAATGAACCTTAGTAGTTTAAATAAAAAGTTGACACCAGCTGGTTAATTAAATTGGGGAAAGCTAGCTAATTGAGGTAAGTTGCATGATCAAACTCCGGCTTTGAGGTCTGAGCCCAGGTCTTTGCTCTGCCTGTGCTACCTGCTAGCTGTGTCGTTTGCAACAAGCTGCTTAACTTCTCTGAGCTTTGGTTTCTTCATCTCTTAAGTATGATCAACCTCATAAACAAATTAAACGAGGCAATGCACAACATGTTGAGCAGTAGCATGCCTGAGATAAGGGACAAAGATGTCATGTCCCTTTCTTCCTGTACATTGCCAAGGCCATCCACCTAGGACACCCTGGAACTGCTGCGTCCGCCTCAAACTTCCGGTCATTTATCTTGGTTACAATTCCTGTTGTCCTCGTCTGTTCTCTGTTGCTTGATAATTGAATATTGAGTCTGGGTGATTTATGAAGAATGGGGGTGTATTCAGTTCACAGTTCACAGTTTTAGAGGTCTGAGGTCAAAGTGCTGCATCTAGTGAGGGTCTTCTTGTTGTGGGGACTCAGAAGGGTCCTAAGGCAGCTCAGGGCGGCATGTGGTGGGACAGAGCAAGGTCAAGCACGTGTCCGTGTGTCTGCCTTTCTTATAGCACTGCCAAAATCGATCATGGGGGCCCACCCTGATGACCACATCTAATTTTGATCACCTCCCAAAAGCCCGACCTTTCAACACCATAATCGAATTAAGTCTCCAGCTTCTCAACCCTATTACAATGACCCACTGAGTTTTAGCAGATGAATTTTGGGGGAATGCATGCAGACCATAGCACTCTGTAGAGATTCAGTGGATCAGAGCAGTAGCCTGATCTGACACACATTTCTGTCCCTGCCAGCTCTGTGCTGTGTTCACTGTGTAAAGTGGGTGTTGGTTCATGTCCACAGGGAGTGGTTATTTAGTGAACCCTTATGGAATGCCTGGTTTGTGCCGAGAGCCCTGGGTCTGGAAGTAAGACTACAATCTCCGTACCTGCCCAACTCTTGATCAGAAGGAAATAGAGGTCTGGGTGGGGATCATTTGGGGTGGAAAGTGCTGAATTTGCAGTGTAGATTACATGTCAACTCTTCTTCTGTCTGGTGTTTGAACTTGTGTCATCCTGTGCTGTGGTTGTGTTTACTGGTCGACACGCTCCACCAAAGCAGCTTTGTAGGAATGAGGGCTTTATTTCCTTTTGCTTTCACATTAACAACTTTGGCTCTCATCTAAATAAACATTCTGTCTAGAGTGTTATATACTTGAGTTCTAAATGACCAACTGCAGGTAAGAATAAGCTTTTCCTCTTTCTTTTCTTACTTTTATGATCACAACGGCTGCTGTTCCTGTTCTGTCTCTACCTCTTCCATGAAATGTATCT